TATACCTGGTTCCACTTCACCATCATCAACTCCCTCAGTCACTTTGACTTCAGCTTGATGGCACCTGGTTAGTTCAACCTCTCTTTTAACATATACCGGGATCTGTCCTTTGTTGTTCCGAAACATCATTTTATCAAAATTAATTACACACTGCCTCGGTAGTAAGTAGTCCAACCCTGATATGCATTGGTCTTCAATGTCAGCCAAGTATACTTTGTGCCTGTCCTTCATGCCCATGAGCTCTATAGTTACCCACACTGGTCCTCATAACCTTGCATAATGTCCTGTTACACGACAGAGCTTCTGTATGGCTGCTGGTACTCCTTTGTGATCCAGCACCTTGATACTCACAAGGGTTTGCTGAGATGCAGAATCTATGACAAATTTGCACTTTTGGCCATCCAGCTTTCCTGTCACATAGACACTATGTACACTTGGCATTTTACACCTAGCTGTTGGGACTTTCACGATGGGGGTTGGTGCGCATCCCTCAACACCAACCACTACTGGTTTCCCCGAAGCTGACTTATTGGTAGTATTCTTCTTACACTGGCTCCTCATATGTCCTTGTTCTCCACAGTTCCAACAACCTTTCTGGGTAGCAGCCTTTCCTGCTGTGGCATCTTCCCTGTGTTGAAGTTTCCAGCATTGAGCTCTTTTGTGCCCAGGTTTATTACAGTGCCAGCAAAGTCCCTCAAACTTCTCTGAAAGGTGCCCTTTTCTGGCCTTGAATCTTGATGACTGTACCAACCGTGGTACCTCTGTGCTGGATGTAGGATTCAAATTCAAGAGCTCTAGCCATTGCATCCTGCATAGTAGAGGGGTGTGCTTGCTTCACTTGTATCTTCAGTTGTGGACTGTCCAAGGCATCTACAAACTGATCACTCAGCAACAACTTGAGGAGATCGGGTAATGCAATTGGGTAGGCCTTGTGTGCCATACTTTCCAAATCCTGTGCCAGCTCTTACAAGCTCTCCTCTTTAGCATGGAATCTAGTCCTAAACCTAGCCCTGTAGACTTCAGACTGATTTTGGGTTCCATACCTGAGTTCTAGAGCAGCTACAAGTGCTCTATAGTTGTGCCAGTCGTCCGCTGACAACTGTTCAAGTATTTCCAGTGGTTGTCCCTTCAAGCTCGTTGCCAGATATACTGCTTTCTGCTCTTCTGTCCATTCATTCATTTCTGCCAGGAGCTCAAAGTGTGCTCTATATGCTTCCCATCAAATTTCTGTGGCTTCCTTCATACTAGATCACACCTATTGCTGACACTCGTGTCTGGAATGTGATTTCTGGCAGGACTGAATATGTTTGCATTAGGGTTTAGCTGTGGGGTCTGGAAGGGGCTTCCGTGTTGTCTGGGGGCTGGATTGGTCCATGGTTAATATAGTCCTGAGACTGCCTAACGG